CCACTTACCCATTCCTGAAATTTGTATCTTTGTGTATTAAACAAAGAAGAAAGTAAACATGAAAGAGTAAAAGAAAAAAAGAACATCTTCCCCATATCGAGGAATGAATTGCAAGGTGATAAGATGGGCCAGCGCGGAATGTAACAGTTGAAATGCTTCATGGAACACATGAAACGCACAAAGATATATAACATCATCCAATCATACTGATTTGAAAAGTTTCGGCAAACCGAGTGTCCGGATGGAAACACAAGGACGGGAAAACTGTCAACTGTGTTCGTTGTCGAACCTTGCACAAGATTTTTTCTTCTTTGTCACTGTAACTTTGCTTAATATCTTAACTCCGCAACTTCCGAAGTCCTAAGCGTTTTTGTGAATGCTAGTTGACTATCATATTGACAATAGTAAATCAATTCATGAAAACTACCATCCCATTCTAATTAGATCGACCACAATTCAATCGAACAACCTTCGATTGCACTTATGTACTGTTGGGTTTACAAAAACGAACATGTGATAAGCTGTAAGACCAGAAACCTGTGACTAGTTGTTGAGTATGTTTTATTGTGCATGTCCACTGAGCATCGGATACAATGCAATGCTAAAGGGCTGGAAATCGATTGACATTCTATAGTTCAATCGAGAAATACACCCAAAGGGTGAATCCTCAGCAAGTTATGAATTTATTCACCCCGGATGCTGATAAATAGCGATAAAAAATGGAAATAAATGTGGCACTGATGTAAAAGAAAAAGAAAAATTCAAGAGTTTTTCCCTAATGAGGGTCATAATTATCGTGCAATTAACCCAGAGACGGGTCAAATACGGAGTAAACTGTTTCTATGTATATATGTGCAGAAAATAGTGAATGTTTTGGCGTGAGTTCACGGATTTGACACAGCTTTTATGATTTTAGGGATGCAGACGGTGCTCCTGGTATTAACGTGTTGAGTAACCTAACCAATGTATCGGAATCCACGGGAACAGAAAAAAAACAACCAAAACGTTCTATCAGTTTCACGCTATCGGGACAAAATGTTAAAGGATCGAGAAAAAGATGTTAATGAGAATATCACGTGTTCGTACTTAAGTAAATCTGATTACAAGTTGAACAGAAACAATAAAAACGCGTTTTCGGACATCTGGACGGGAAGCGGATAGAAGAATATTGATGACCATTGAAATGGAGGCCAAATGTCGACAAAATTCGTGATAGATTGCCTGCTAGGTATTACACAGCAATATGTAACCCATCGCAATCTGAATAGAATCACAAGTATTATTTCAAATAAAGAGATATCTAGAATAGTCTGTTCACAGAACAGCATTCAAAGCGACAAATTATGTTTGCATACAATAATATCAATCAACAGTATGATTAAATTTATCACTTTGAGCATTAATCGAAATGTTATCCCTGATAAGCTCTAACTACCGCGAAATCGGTCTCGCGCTGATCGGCTATCTAATCATTCATACATAAGCATATACGCGCACATGTATAGATATTTCATATCTTCACAAAGAACCTAATAGAAATTTGGATCTTTGGCGACAAAATCTTTTTCCTTTGCAGGCATAAGCTTCAGATAAATCGTGCTTGATCATTCTAGTAAAAGGAGTATGTTTACAATTCGACACATGCGTGTAGTTCAATTCGTTCGGCTTGCGTGTGTGTACCTCACGTTTGGCCCATTTGTGTTTTTTGATGCAATTACAAAGAGAGGATTCTTCGTCTTTCCAGTCAGTTCCAGTTTCCTTTGGAAGTTTCTTTTCTTCTCAGTATTCAAATCTTTTGCTGTCCAAACCATTGTTAGTTAGTACTCCTGACACCGCTTATCTTTGATCAATTAGTGAAATCTTATCAGCGATATGACTTTACGAGAACAGTCACTAGAGTCACAGATAGACTTTTCTTCGGATATCATTTCAGGTCCGAAACAGAGAAAAATATACAATTAGGTTCAAATGATTTCTATGGCAAAACTTGCACGAGATGTGATAAGAGGCGTTATCTTCTATATAGTCGGTTTCTTCTCGTGAATGACTATCCTGCTGTGGCGACTTCCTTGATTGTGATCGATTTCTTGACTATTTACATCGTAATTGAAGGACTGATAGGCCTGAAGTTCCCCATCCCGCATGGGCTGTATAGTTCACTTGTATACCGAATTTACAAGGATACTTAATCCGTGTGGCCATGGTGAAGTTAAAAAACGCGCGCTCAATGAGGAACATTTCTCAAGGTCGACTTTCGAAGGTCACCTTTCTTCCTTACTTGGACTCTAGTTTTCCTGCCTTCATCAGGAAAGATTTTACGGGAATGAATTGTGGTCAAATAGTTTTTTTATCTAGTGATGATAAACATTGTTATTTATCGTTGAGATTACTTTTCATTGTATGGGGAAGGATGTGTTATTTAGAAAACTAAGTTAATCAGAACAGATTTCCATATGAAATCATAATCGCTTATTTTTAAAAATGAACTTCTGTGCTATGCCAAACCAAACGGTTTATTATCTAGAGCTTCAAGTTATGAACTAATACGAAGTCCATCCTGTTAATCAATGCAGACCCAAATCAAATAGTGGTACAAGAATTTTAAGAACATTGAAGTGGGAAATAAAGTTTGGCGTAAACGTTCTTCACTCATGGATAGTCTGATATTGGAAGCTGAAATATATTTCTAATTTGAAAGTAATGTCACACAATTTCGATCGGTACTTACATACATTTTCTTTGCGTTATTGTATGAAATTTAGAAACACCTATTTCATAAGCACAACATTTGGTTTACGGATCTGGGTACCCGAATTGTTCAGCACGAAAATACACGCGCGATTTGTAGCAAACTGGTTCTCAAGGTCTCACTTTGCAGCTGGCATCTGTTTACTCAACTATGGGACGCGGGTCCTCGAAAAACACGCGGCAAGGTCTCTGCATACCAGAATTCCATGGCGATTCACAAGCTTCACAGAGTCGGATGTTCCTCTTCAAGAAGTAAAACTAAGACGTCGTCGCTGGGTTAAACAAAACTTTTCCTCAAAATCGTTTCCTCCCCAGCCATTCAAAGCATATTCTTTCATCCGCGTCTGAAATCACATGATTTCGATATGACGATCAGCCAAATGGATTGAGTTGTTATAGTCTCTAAATGAATGCCACCATGCTTCCATAGATACGAACATAGTCTACACCAATACCGGTTTGTACCAGATAGCGTTGAAATTTCCCTTTGAAATAGAATGCCACACAAACTATTCTTATTATTTTTGTATCTTGTTTACTGAAATAGTAATCACTAAAACGATATCCAGCAATATGAACTGGACTACTCAAGGATTGCTGTCTCGTAGTTGGGTGACGGCAATCTTCCGATGCAGACGCTCGAACTCCAGAGCGATATTTTTTCTTGCTCTCCCTCTTTTCCTGTGAGTGGTGACGATAGTGAAGCAGCATGCATGCGGGACGGTGATTGTGTTAGAATCTCACGACTATTACTAACTTCTCACGGGTTTTTTCCCTTCTGTAATGATGATCCACTTCACAAATTGCTCAATGAGACCAAAACAAAATCGTGTTTCTGAATTTTGGGGTGGATGGGAACTTGGATTTTGGTGCTGACTCCACATTGAGATCGATCAAAACGCGAAATCTCTCATTCTCTCCAATGCAATATTTTTTTTTTCATGATCACAACTACTCACCATCAAACTATCCATTCTCGTGCCTTCATCAAGTACACACGAACACTGGTGTGGACGCGTTAACAGTTGCACAACCAAGCTCACAACCATTCACGTTCTTGTCCAGAGAGAGTGAGCGCGCGTTATAGATGGTAGACTACACAACTTACTCCACTCGTGTCATAAATTACCTGCTCTAACCCGCAACACGAACAAATGACATGCTTGAACGGCAAATCACCATACACACACACACACACAAAATCAAGTTAACACATTTGACATTAGATTAACCGTTTTTTTCCCACTGATCGTGCTCTAGTTATTTTACTTTTTTTACACCTGTGTGTGTGTGTGCGTGTGGTATAATGGCAAGCAACGGAGTCTGGATGAACCCCCGAGACTACTGTATCTGCACCCTCGTGTCGTGGTTTTGCATGTCTGGGCACCACCGTACGCACACACCGAAACACACACTGATTGAGTTGAAAACACGGAAGTTGTATACCTGCTCACGTATAACGCTATTTGGCCGCACTACACGTGTGTGTCTGTGTGTGTGTGAGTGAATATGTAAATTTATCCCCTTCGTTTATGGGATTTCGGGGGTTGTTGTGATACCGTTTAATGTCTGTAACCGAACACGACGATTTAGGGGCCATAAAACCAAAACCGCCGTGTCCATGGGTGTGTGTGTGTACGCGTAAATCAGCTAGCTAGATCGTGTATGGACAATCCTCAATCCTGGTTACTGCCTTCATCGTCACTACTACAGGTTTCATTTGGTCTAATCATTAAAGAAACAAACAAACGAACTTTCATTTTTATGAGGTAGTACCGATTTTGGAAGTTGATAGTTGAATGCTGTAGTAGATGGTAAGGGGATGCATGGGTAGTTCTGTTTAGTTTTTGCCTCACTCCTGGTCGTCTTCAGTCGACGATCTACACACATGGTATACATATCCAGCTCCTACGTCGCTCCATTTCAATGAAACATTTAGAACAGCGGCTGCGATTGCCGCAGTGATGATGATGACTCGGATGATGTTGCCGCTGCTGCTGATGATGACGATGAGCATGATCATGATCATCATTCGGTCGAACTGGTGTAATCCGTGTGGGCTGGCTTTTGATTTTGGACACTTGTAGATTATCTCACAGAGGGCTTTTACGCTGGAAAGTAAGTAGCACTAATCGGCCGTGATTAGATTGCTTTTAAGTCATCAGCCCAATGGCTAACACTTTATCTGTTTGAGCCGTCTCCTAACCTCAATCAGCATAGCAGACTATTATACCTTTTGTTTTCCGCTCAGGTACTATATTGTACGTCAAGAGAATGACTGTAAACTGCGTTTGGGTGGTCCTCCTTTGGTAAGTATATTAGGAGAGTTGATACTAACTCAGAACAACATTGTTAGATAAAGCCAATGTGTCTTCAGTGATAACGACCGGGAGATTAATTAGCACCGCGTATCGTTCACAACAGACAGATTCGAAAAGATTCCCTTGAGATTGACCTTGGGATCAGGGGCGTGTTACTGTTGATCGCGGGTAAGGATGGTCAATTTCTTTTTCCTTTCGTCTCTGTTTCTTCATTTCTACTTCACTAATTCCGCCTTATCCACTTTGCTGGTATTCTAACCGAAAGATTGGTATTCGAAATGGGTAGTTAGCTTGTAATTCGACAGAGATGCCTCCTTTAAATCTAGACTAAATTTCGGTAATCATGTCATCCCCAGCCGGATGTGAAGAGCCAAACAGGCTTCGAGGTTGAACTGCACCTATGCTCTAAATCAAATCCATTTGCCGTTCAATTCTGATCAGTCATGTGTTTGTGTAGTGAGATTTCAAATCAGGCCGTTGAAAATTGTGCAACTAATGCCAGTTCACTCTCATCGGATTGCACTTGACTGACCCGCTTTGTTTTAAATTTTGCGTGTATAGATCGGTCCAGTGATTTTTACTGATCTACACGTATCTTGTATCTTCGCCTTGTTAGTCAATTCGGTAGGACTATGGTCAGTCTATACTAGTTGATTTATCTCTTCTCTTTCTAACCGGGGATAATGAGACCAGGAGTACTCGAACACACAACATTTTGCTTCGCAGGTATCATATTCACTTGTTTTAAAACATCATATAGATTCGCGGGTATTCTCATCTGGTCAAATCCAACACACTTACAGCTGCAATGATGCGCAATAATGTTCTCTCAGTCATTGCTAAATTTATTCAAATTGTCGCAAACAGCACTCGAAGGCCTTCAAAACATCTTACATTTTCACCTCGGTGGTGGCCCGGTGGTATCATCACCAAATTGTCACCCCGGGGGTGTGTTTGAATCCCACCACCACCGCCTGACTTTCTACAATATGTGTTGAATGGCAGACCTTTGATTGGCAGCTTCCTCCTTCCTGAAAACTGTATCTTTATATAAAAAGGAAGTAAAATGAAAAAGAATAATAGTGACAAATCCACATGGGACTGTTTGGTTCTTCCGGGCTTGTTCTAGCTGGCGAGTTCGCATTTCGACTAATTGATAAAGCACCCAATTTCCTCTGTTCTGAAATGGAAACCGACCTTAGTGATTTGACTAAAGATCGGTTCTCCGCTTCCCGATTTCCCTATGGTCGTCAACTAAGATTGAACAAGATCGGATCACCTTGTATCAACGTTTGAGAACCCCCAAAACCATACACACGAGCGCCACTATTGGAATGATGTCATAGTCGGTGAGGATAAACAAAGTTACTGTCCGAAACAAGCTGCTCCACAATGTTTTGAACGGTTTTCAGTGGAGCACGTGTCTAACACGTTCGGATTGCATCATGGTGATTACGTGGATCGATGTATTACAATTCTTAAGAATGTCAATGTCTTCAATAAGACAGCTTGTCATGTTTACCGGAAATTTCAAATTGGATAGGCAACGATGGGTAACAACGAAAACACGTTTGTGGTATTCTTCTCACTCTGTGTGTTGGAACTAGAAAATCGGGAACCAGATCGTTTAAACAGTTCAACGTTTACCGCTACGTGCATCCCATCGGTAAGGAGTAGAAACAATTGGATTCCGTGACAGTTTATAATTATTCCAGCAATGAATTATATACAAATTAACATTTTGAAGCTTACCTCCCATTTTTGTGATCATAGTTATTGATCACACTCGTGCAACATGACTATTAATTGGGAAATGGATTTATGTTTCCCCCATCCTACTTGTATATTGATAACTATAGGTAAAGAGCACTTGTTCCGAACTTTAACTTTCACTGTAACGCCCATCTGGGATTTGGCACGCAACTCTGTAAGTTTGCGCGCATGAAAGATACCGATCACTCGTTGGGCGCCCGCAAAACAAGTCACACGTCGTGACAATCCTTGATTGGCACTGCAAACCTCTTTATCAACTCAACTATCATCTGTGCATCACAATCCCTCTCTCTCTCTGACGAGTGCCTGTGTTATTTTCATTGTTATAAGATACTTTTATTTCAGCTTTGAATATGAGAGGATTTTCATTGTGTAAGACTCCTTTTAAAGAAGGATAAATTTTCTAGTTTGTGACACGCAATTACACCTAAATCATGAGGACGGGAATTTATTTAATGTGCACAAACGAACGCTTCTTCTTAATGATGGGAGAAAAAATCATTCACAACTCCAACTGTCGGTGCATAGATGACCCAATCGAATCAATAAACATAGCATCGTACAACCGGAAAGGAATACGGAAACTGGGAATATGTATGCGATCTAAATTGTGTGAAAAAGTAACGAAATTTCGGTTACGTTCCAACCCCGGAAGATATTATCAATTTCACGTTCTCCAGTACTACCCGAAAGTTAGTCGATCAGTGTGAGTGCGTTGGTTTACTCTCTAAATTTGGCTAACACAACACATGATTGGTTATACAACCGACTGAATGTACATGTAAACACAGGTTCCACTCCTCTGTCCAGTGGACCTCGGTTGTAAAGGTCGTTAGATAAGAGACAATGGATGTGCTTTCTGAAAGTGTACCAAGTTAAGTCATCCGTTGCTTTATTCATCCTAATGGATGGATTTTCGGCCCAGTGCATACCAGAATCATTTATCATCGTACACGGTCACACAGAGAAAAATTACAATAATGTGTCAAAGATGGCGAACGAATGCGAAAATGGACATCATTTACTTGGCGTTTGTAAAAAGTTATCTTTGAAGCATACTTTCTGGGCCAGAAATATAGAAATCTAGATATGATGCAACAGACAAACGGTAAGCACTGATCTGAGTGTGCACAGTTTTATAATGAAACCTGATTACAGAAGTGGATACCCATTGTTGAAGTCCTCTGATAGAATATTGTACCAAACGTTTTTTGCAAGAGGTAAAATGTTTGTCGACGATGAAGTTGAGCAAGTGTAGACAGGGAACGTCGCTTGTGTGTGAAATAATTTTACGAGGCCAGCATAGAATTTCGCAGTCTTTAACTTTTTATCCCGGCAAATTAAACTGGAGAGTAGCAAAGCAGGTGAGCGATAACACAAGAATATTCGGATCGTATGAGTGTATAGAGGGGAATTTTTGAAAGGAGAAGCGGAAAGTAAAGAAACACAATCGTTGAATCTTTTTAAAAAGTGCAGTTGAAATGTGAGGTGCACGTTAGTTCGTGATAGATAGTAAACCACCGTATTGCAATAAACGTACCTGGGGAACAGTCCGATTGCCAAAATAGAGTACGGATCAATTTCTTTCAAAGGAATGCAACCGTTCTCCTTTGGCGAGCGAGAAGTTAAAATCAATACATTTTGGGGCTTTATTATAAAATTAGAAATGCGAAGACATATAAGATAAATTGGTTTGAAGCTACGAGAAAAGGAAATCACGTTTGAATTAGGAATCTATGATGACATCATCGGCATACTTGATATGATTTTCTGAGTCGGAGGTTAGATCCCGAATAGAGAAAGCGAAAAGAGAATGGGAAAGTATTGCTTCTTAGAGCATCCCTGAATTGAACCATAGGGGGTCAAGAGTTTGTCGAAGAAATTCGGTGAAGTTTGCCCTATCAGTAGAATGATCTTGGAGAATCCAGTATCTTGGAGTAAAGAGAAAGGCCTGTCCCATTCGACACAGCTGAATGGATTACTTTCCCCGAGGAAACACACAAAATGCCATACTGAGCTGTTCCATGGATTGCAAAACTGGATGCACCATGCGGGTAAGGACGTTTAAGGTGGAACGTTGTTTATAATGGGCGAATTGTCTGTGATCTTACCGATGAGTTTTGGGAATTATGTCTTTGAGCATAAACTCCTCAAAAATCCTTAGTAAAGTGGAAGCGCAGGGGACTGGACGAAATTTCGTAGCTTTCCTTTGGGGACTGGTGTGATGCGTATGGGGTTTCCAACAGTTGGCACGTTTTTGTTCCTGAAAGAAACGGTTGAAAACACCGGTAAATCGTTCGGCCAGATAACACGCGTATTCCCTGCGTACGGTAGGATTTAGTCCACCGGGACCGGAAGCATTTGATGTTTCGAGGTACCTGAATTGAATTGACATGCAAAATTTCATACCGATCAACTGACTGGAAATGCGACTCTGATGTGACTCCGTTTAATTTGATTTGGAAATCACGCAGTTGGGTTGAGCTGCTGTGAGGTGAGGTCCATATAGTTCGATTTTGTTTTCAACGGATTTCATTTCACTCCAGATTTTCCTACAATCACGATCGCCAAGTAGAGTTTCCTCGTGAAGTCCAGATCATACTTTTGATATTTGTTTGACTAAAGCTTGGTCTTAATTTTTGTATACCTGTTGCTCACTTCATCTGAAGGTCTTCCAGGTGTGGGAAAGGGGAATCTGTCGGGGCGGTAAAGATCAAAACGGAAATTCAAAACACCCGGGAAGGTGTTCACAACTGAGGACAAATCCACACGATCAATTCCAATCGCACGGCAGACTAAGAGCAATATTACAAGTCGGTATCTTTAGAGTGTCTTTTCGGATCGAATCTGACTGAGCATGAGGGAATTTATGTTGAATTATAAGTCCCGTGCACCTCGTTCCGTGAAAACAATCGGATTAGAGTTATTGATCTGAATGAAAACCCAAAGGGTGATTGGTACTTTTTGGAACTAGGCCATCCTATTTCCAGCCCGAAATTTGCGTATTCACCTTTCGTCAACACTGAAAAGTTTGTAAAACAATTATTCGATTCAATTACTTTCGTGCAAAAATAGTAGTGTGTAATAATGTCAGTAATCTAGCTCAGAATACCGTCAGTTGTTATCACCTATTTGAATTGAACCCAATAGTGGCAAATGGGTGGCTTTGGCAACTAGAACACTGATCTGTTTGTCCATAGTTCGAACCCCGTCGTCGGCATTAACTTTCCCCATTTCTATAATTCCCCACGCAGTCATTGTATGTCCGAGAACTCTTTCCAGGAAGTTAGCTGTACATTTATTTGCTCACTTCCAGAAAGATGGAAGTAAAAGCATCTATTATTACCGGACAAGATTGTAAAACACGAATACACCTGTTTAGTGGCCTTGGGAAAAAAACTTAGAAAACGACTGAAATATTGACGAAGCGTTATCCAACACAGGAGTAAGAGCAGTGGGAGCGGTAGTCCACATGCCCTAAACGTACACACGCATTCACCATTGTCTACCTACGTGATAAGAGATTTTTCTGGTCGTTTATTTTTCTCCCTTTTACAATTTTTCATTTTATGCTCCGTTGTGGTGGTGAGGCGAGGACGCAATGGCGACAAGGCGTTATTGTCCATGCCATCACAGTCAGTCACTCGACTGAGTCCAGGACGGGCTTGATATACTCTTCACTCTACGATAGTCTCACTGGAAAACACTTGCCGTTGAGTTCTCACCTGGTGCTATTTTCTAGTACTCCGTGTGTGTATGCTTTGCGATAGCTAATTTTAGGCTGCCGATCTGGTAAATTTGGTTTTTAGGGATGTCTCCGTCAGGCTCATTACACATTCCGTGTCTATAATTGACAGAATCTGAGCATTTGTGCTGGGTTTCATCCGTTCGTCGTTTCCTCAAGTTCATCGGACTTCGCTTACTTGTGTGTATCTATGTATGTGTGTGTGCTCGTGTGGACCACCTGTGTGTGTGTGTGGTCTGTTCTCTCATTTTGCCGGAATGAGTGTTTGTTGTCGNGCAGGTGCTCTGTTGCGAGGATGAGGGTGAATGGGATTTTCGGTTCAGATGCATCCATTAGACTGACTTCATAAACTCAACATTGACGAGATTAATGAAATAGGATGATCTCGGGGGATTGGACGGGCAGTGTTGCAACCGAAAATAATCCGCTGGCTCACGTCAAACCTGGCTTATTCAATCAATCAGTTTACCAATCCTTCAATCGATTTATGAAGCGGGTGTTTACGTGGAGTCTCCAGATCCCTTAAGTATATGTATATCAAGCTAAGACTAATCCACCCCGCACAATAAAGGGGTCTCAGTTGTGCACAACTGGAGTCTCGGTTGGGGTGAGCGAGAAAGGAACAATGCGTGCGGCAGATTCGGTCAAATGGACTGTTTGGATCAGACCACAACTATTAGCCGAGTGAAACTCACCTACTCAGTGCGCATTACACACGGGACCACTGTCAAATTAAAAGAAAACCGAAATAACACACTAGATGAAAACGGTGCTGACAATTATTTGGTTTGTCCTAGCGCGATAATTATTGAACCAAGATGTTCCTACTATTCGTTCAGTGTAGCAAGCTATCTTGGTCTTAAAGCAATAAGGACGACAAACTTTTGTCAAAATTATAAAATCTAATAAGGGAAAACATAAAAATCTAAACCCATGATCCAATGATTCGAAAAATGCTATTCAGTTAACGGCTTAGACAGGCGGATGGACAGATGGAAATGCATATAGATAGATAGATAGATAGATAGATAGATAGATAGATAGATAGATAGATAGATAGATACTAGATAGATAGATAGATAGATAGATAGATAGATAGATAGATAGATAGATAGATAGATAAAAAGATAGGATAGATAGATAGATAGATAGATAGATAGATAGATAGATAGATAGATAGATAGAGATAGATAGATAGATAGATAGATAGATAGATAGATAGATAGATAGATAGATAGATAGATAGATAGATAGATAGATAGATAGATAGATAGATAGATAGATAGATAGATAGATAGATAGTGCTGATCTCACAGCTGATCCCAAACTTTCGGTAATTTCAACAAACTTTTTTTTTCAATTTTACGCGATTACAGTTAGCTTCTGATGTTAAATGTACAAACCTGTTTAGCGTGTAGAAATATCTGCCTGCTATGTGAAGCAATCGTACTTTATCAATTGGATTTCAACGGTGAAAAACTTTTCGCTTTCTGTTTCTGTCGTTCATCATGATCATGATAATAATTAATCCCTTTATTGACGATGATGTTTTATACCATTTCTCCCCCTCACCTCCACCCTCCCAATTTGCTTTTCAACCGCATCTACCGGTGATCCATGAACTCACACTACGAAATCCCCATCGCAATCCGGCTGTTTCGCTTCCTATCGCAGAGGGACTGTCCATCAGGTCAGCTGAGTAAAAAGAAATTCATCGAAGTCTATTCCGGTTTCTTCCCGGACGGAAACGCGGAAGAGTTTTGCACACACGTATTTCGGACATTTGACAAGGACAATTCCGGTCGAATCGATTTCAAAGAATTTCTTCTCGCAATCAATATCACATCAGGCGGAGATCCTGAGGAGAAACTAGAATGGGCCTATCAGATGTACGATATTGACGGGAACGGGACAATAGAACGAACAGAGATGGTTGAAATTATACGAGTAAGTCTTACGGTACACCCCCCCCCCCCCNCACACACACCCCGATCCATACATACCGACACCGCTAATGTTTTCTTCTCTTTACCTATCTCGCTCTTTGATCTATCCTTCATTCTGCGACGCCCACCCCTAAAATTTGTTCATTACCTCAGATGAGTTTTCCAGCGATAGCCCCCAGAATCACTGGTTCACTTGAAATATCAGGGCAGTCTTAATGGAAGAAGTTTAGTGTGCTTCCGTATCATCAACAACCCATAATACAGCAGGTTAGTTGAATGATGAGAATCTAACTGCTTCAGCTTAAAAAAAACCAAAAGCTCAAGTGAAATCACCCGCTCTACTTGAAAAGACATAAAATGCGACCTACAATTGGACACTGATGCAGTATACCACAATGAACAGGTTCAGCATGATTTTATTCCGATCTCTGTCGGTGTAAAATGCGCATTAGACAGCTACTGGGATAGAAAAGTCTCATTTGTATTTTGGTGCGTTCTTTCGAGATGAATTATTGCTGAACAATAACTAAGATCTGTCTACGGGTTAGATGCTTCAACCAATAAATTTTGAATCGTAACATAGTCCCGTAGACAATGTAGAGAACGGTATTCACGAAGAAATTTCTTTTCGATAAATCGCATCAGGCGTTTATATATATATATATAAGGTGATCATAATACATATATCTGATTGGCCGATTAGAGCTCAGTTAGTAACGATGACAGGGGCGAATAAACAAATCAAACGAATATGACAAGGCTAATGCTAGTCGCAATTTTATAGTTCTTATAGTCCTTCCCAACGTACTGGACTGATACCATGTAGTTTTTCTTTCGGGCTTACTCGTAGAGAGAGAGAGAGGGAGGGCGAAATTCAATGGCGATGTTGATGAAAGACGTTACTCAGTAAACCACTTCAATCAAGTACTCAAAGTACGTACGAAATTTCAAATTAAATAAAGTTTTCAAGAAGTAGCTTTGATCAGAAATATTTGGAAAGACAGAACTGAGAATTCACCTTCACATACAAAATTCACCATCAGCCTTTCATTCTGCGTTCTCATGGAATCAATTCTACAAAACCTGTAATATAAACGTTCATTGTGCCTGGTCTACACATAATTTTAAGGGATAGTTAAATACAGACTATTTGTTCAGACACTGATTACTAAAACAATCGAATCCAAGTGCGAAACAACAATAGTTCAGTCGAGAACAGATTTCGAACGAATTTCACAAGAAATAAATGTAGTTGTGGTGTTATTCCCAAATCACCGTAAAACCAAGCCTCCTCACTCCCTCCAGCGCACACATACTCATTCTATGGAGAACCGATTGCCTGGCTTGTGTGCCCGTTAACATTACTCACATCTTTCATTACTCCGTGCCTTCGAACCCTATTAACTTCATCCAAGTCACTCATTTGACTGACTCATACGTACAAGCGCACACGCTCTTGCTTCCCTCGAACCCGCGTACGCACACAGCTAATAATCCCTCAACCTCAGCCGTATTCGCAAGCCCCACTCCTCACAACCCGATGCGCCACAGATCAAATCAGTCGACCAACCAGCACATTGACCCACACGCTTGTTTATATAGCATTAATTGGTTAGTTAACTTACTACTTACTATAGTTAGTCAGTGAACAATATTCTCAAGGGAAATATCCTCACCTGACGTTATGCCTAAGAGCTACTTCTCCGCCCACTCAGTATGCATGCCAAACCGCGGACAGATTACCGCGCAGAGGAAGATTTGCAGCGAGGCGATTTGCAGAGCAACAAACAGCATTGCTGAATGAAAGACCATCATCCGATCCGATTGGCGCATATTTATCCATACATATATAGAAAGCGAGAGAGGAACAAGGTAAGAAAAAACAGTGAAATACATGCAACTGCTAACCCCGAAACAAATGCACAGAGACTGTTCGGAGCTTCAGTTGAAAAGCACTGTTTTTGTCTGTATTCGAGAACAATAGAGCATCACTAATTTCTAAGCGACACATGCCTCGCATTTGTCGAGAAAGCACTGGTTCACTGATTTAATACGGGATGGCAGACTAGCATGCGATGGACACGTTCGGATGGGAGAAAGTTCCCAAGGGTCATGACAGAACTGATTAGACACTAATTTGTTATTCCTGCCAACAACAAAATCAAGCAGAAAGTGAATTATAGGCAAAATAAAACACAGGAAAACCGCTCAGCCTGTGGAAACTCGGTAGAATCCGTGTGTTGTCTTGGGTTCGGACAAAACCGACTACTCAGAAAAGCTTCAATTAGCATTTCTCCCTATGGGGCATTGTCTAAGTATTAATGGGCCCGGTGCGATCCCGCTACTTGATCCAACAAAAAATAGATCTATCTTAGTAGTATTTAAAAACCCAAAAGCTTCGAGAAAAGAAGTGCATAATTTCCGTTCCAAAATCATCATAATTGAGGTGATCATTATTCATTCTTGTCGGCAAAATAACTTTTGCTGACAAAGCCAGAAGCCAACTCTAACGCATGTATATTCTGAAACCTGTGCAATCTATTTAGAGTATCGTGTTTGAATGAGTTCACATTTCCCAGACACTGAGGATCGTCATGGGTGTGTCTAACTCATTAGGAGATCGTTTATTCCCCATCAGTTAGATTCAATCGAGTCCTGACCGACGCACAAGTTGTACGCAAACAGAACAGAACAGTGCTCTTTACCGGTCATCACAAATATTTCCATTGCGCGTAAGCTTTGTTAATTACTCCGAACTTTTCAATACAATAGTGAGCATTAAATTTGTACAGTCAAATATTGCCATGAGCTATTTCTCGAATGAACCGCATTAATTCCTCGTGATTTTACGTTAAAAACTGACTGAATTGAGATAACAGTATCGGCTTCTGTGGAACTCAAACTTTTCGATAGCTTTGCACAATATACACTGAATGTACCGAGCCGGTGCGCCACACCGGTTACCCGGATCTGTCGAGAGATGATCAGCTAGCTAAATTACAGGTGTATGGACACACCCTGTTGAATGTAAGCTGATTTTATCAGTATCAAGTTCTTTTTTCTATCAGCTGAGCGCTTCAAAATTTTACTGATTTGTAATACATTCAGCATTCACTTCTCTGAGTTGAGTAAAGATCGGTACGTTCCAGTGAACCTCTTCCCAAACTCCTCCTCGTGGTCCACGACTGTTGATTTCAAAATTCGAACTATATTTAGAGTTTCACTGCCCAAAGGCTGTTGGACTCAAGACTCCTAGTGTCAGACTTAAGCTTATTTGGCTGTCATTCAGCTAATCAGATAGGTATAAATTTATCACATCTGATGTAAAAGAGCAAATCGCGGTTTACGCTTCTGTTGTGCTTATTTCAACAACAGAAACGTGATCGAACGCAATTCAAGCAAAACGCTTTGTTGCTCTTCTCCATTTTGATTCTTCGACTGAATAGTATTCTACCATGTCTCACAACTCTCCAGTTCTTCTTTTCCATTCCCGTTCCGATAAAAAGTATTTGTTGAGAATAATACCATACTAGTCCAACGTTTCAGGTTACATATTCAACAACAGTGAGGACTGTTTTAGGGGAATATTATAAGAAAGTCCGCGTTTTTCCCATTAAGGGATTCATTCTGGATTTCGGTTAGCCACACCTGCGACCTTTGAAACGCATCGTCCTTGAAAGATTTACCCGTTTCCTAATAATCGTGATTTTATTAAATTGAATATAGCCTTCTAGTCTAACTGTGACCGAAAAGAATGGGCTCTGTTGACACTCAATCCGTAATGCTGAAATTCGGATTTTTTCACACGAACTCTGTTCAAATCGATATTCTACTTGTTCATACAGAAAATTGGGCGTATTTGCAGTTACCGATGGAAACCATTTCTAATTAAACTTATTACTATTATTATTGTAATACTAATAATGAGTACACTGTAGCTCACGCGAGTTAAAATGATAAGGATGATTTTTTGAAATGAAAGGGAATTGCATCGTTGATAGAAAACGCCTACCCAAGAAAAACTCCAACCATTCGTCATTCGCCGAGCAGACCATTTTGCTGGGAATAACGAATTCGATCTCAATTGCGGGAAATGAATCGTACGGGAGAAAATAGAAATGGCGAAGAAACTCAATTTCTTCCCTCGGGTTCTTTGAATCTCGCTCATCGTCATCATCCTCATCCTCATGATCCATCATACGGGCACAAACGATTGCTCTCAAACAGCACACGCACACACACACACACACACACACACATACAAGCCTTCCGATGATCATGGTCTGCGTTGGCACTTTTCAGGCACACTTACACACACACACACACACACACACTAAACCCATCGAAAGACACTTCGATAAAGTGATCGCAGAAGCCAGTTTGTGAACAAATGATTGATTCTACTGGAATTTCATTCGATTAAATCGGTCTCCAGGGAGAGGAGGGGCACTTAATTTGCTTATATGATGAATTTTGTCGTATACAGCGTAAAGAAAACGCCAACCGTTCATCAACAGTGCGAATTCATCGAGGATCGGACCCGGGACCTCACTACCAGAACTGAACGAGCATTTTACCCAATTGGCCAACTAATATCTGACCAAACAGGTTTTTATTTTGTCTATACAGGAAAGGTTTTCAGTGCAGCCCAATTTTCTAAAATTTCTCACAGACACTTGTAAGTGGGATCAGGAATTCTCAAGTGCTTATTTCTTGTCTAATCCGTGTGCTGGCTAATATACGAATTTGAATTTCGACCTGGACACATTAATTTCACATCGGAGTAGTTAAACTACATTTCAGCTCTTCTCGTTTTCCGATAACTGCTGTTGTCTGTGGATGGATTCTGTATCCGAATTGGTAGATCCCTTTGAGAACTCCTTCATCTTTTCAGACTTACCTCGCTAGAAAACACGAAGTATTTTCAAGAGGATATTGGGGGGCGGCTGGTAAACCGACACATTTTTGCTGATAGGAGAGCTCTATATATGCTGTGGTTCT